GCCAATCTGTATTTCTGGAAACTACGCAGACTGCAGTCCCCATCAGGATATTTCATCAGAGCCCTAAAACTTTCTGTGTTTTAAGAAAAGGAAGCTTCAAAAAACAACTCACAACTTTTGAGGCAAATATTCAGAATGGTTGGAATACACATATTTGTATTTTGCTAATTTAGACTAAACAATACAATGTCAGAGAGTATCACCCTAAAAATAGCTCCTTCATACTCCTAAACATACTTTCTAAAACTGCACAGTGTTCCTGGGACCTACTGCAAAGTCAAAGAACTCCGAATAAGGCATGGAAACAAATAAATCATTTTCTTCTAGCTTTGCTCGTAGTTACTAGTGTATTTTATGCAGAATAATTAAAAGGAATTACTTTCTCCAGGAACTACTTGTACAACATGAAAGCTACGTAAAGACTGCTCTAGTCGGTAGTTTGTCCGTGCTGTTGAGGTTTCTCCAGATAGTATGACATCTGATCTGAGGCTGGTCCCACAAATACCAATAAGACCAATACCATGCAATACAAAAATCTTCAGATGTATAGCTGCCATTTCCCTTTGTCAGTTCTAGAACATTCCTCGTCTCCTCCTATTTAGTATGACTCTACTTAAGACAACCACACAGATACCTTTACTATAAAAGATGGTGGTTCTACAACAAGTGGATCCCAAATGGATCCTGTTAAACCAAATATAACTTTGGTAAAAAGAATAACCATGATTGTGCATGGGAGAAGAGAGTCTGTCTCAGATTCTTTTTCTCTGTGCCATAGGATGGATGTGTAGTGGTTGGAAAAAACATGAAAATAGTTCTTTTAAGCACACCATATTCATTAACACGGTAGCAATTCCCTCCCCTCTCTGGAGAGGGTATATGTGACAGAAATAATAATCCTCAGTTCTAATGATCATGGGTTAAGTGCCTCTTGATGTACCATGTTTTCACAATACATCTGTGGATAGTAATAGACTTAATCTAGAGAGGTTTGGCCCCTTGACAAATGGTCTCCACAGAGAGCAAACAGAACCAGGGCACTTAAATAACACCACAGTCACTAATGATATGATTACAGAAGGTGATAATGCAACAAGAATGACTCTCAGCAGCTTCCAGGAGTTACAACTCATGGGAACAGAGCCTATTAGAAAAAAGGCACCCAATTTCTACTTCACACTGTTGCTACGATGTATAATCTTTTTAAATAGATGAAAAAAACCCACAACACAACAGAGAGAAAGCTATTTTAACATAAATAACTTACTCTCAGCAGGCTTTGTGGTTTAAAGGACTTGTGGTAATTGAGTTGCAGAGCCACAAAAGCAGTTCTCAAGTCTGGTCATCTCATCACCCTACATTATACACCATGATGTCAACAAATTCAGAAGGCAGAAGGAACAGCTTATGTGTATCTGGCAAAAGCAATCATGTGCCAGTGCACAATTCTTATAGGGAAACATACATTAGATTAAGATTGATTTCTTTAAGCTGGAGATTTTTTTCAAGGAAGTTTTGCACAAAGTTACTGAGCACAAAGCCTTATTTCACTACAGTTCTTTTTACTGCTGAGATTTTTTTTAGCACTTCCCCTGCATAGTTACTCAAAATCAATGGCCTAAGTGCCAGATAACATTCATCTAGGCATTGAAACATGACAATTGAAATCATATGATAAATCATGCCACAGTTTATGCAATCCCACTTTCCTATTCTTTTCTCCTAGTCATTACTGAACTTCCACTTTATTTTCATTCTAGTGATTCTGTTTTCATGTTTTAAATTATTACTTTCTCCTTAGCATTCATATCTTTTTGATATCAAATCACTTCAATAATAGGGATCTTAGAAATGACATAGCAAATTAGAGAAACATAGATGCTTTCATGTTTCCCCTCAGTTACTGTAAACTCACACAATTTATTTTTTTAAAAACCAAACAAAACCCTTCAGGGCACTACTAATTTGCATTGCACGTCTCTCAACTCCCTCCAGTGTCCCTCCTGTTTTATGAGATTGCCTCCTGGGGAACATACTGAAGTTCAAAGCCAGGGAATGTTCCCACTGTAGTCAATGCAAGAATATATGCCAGGAGCAGGATGTAAATTTCTATCTATAGTATAAGCCTTGTATGGATTAAAACATTTAAAAAGTGGAGCCTTGTGTGCTGGTTCCTAGCTCTTATCCCCAGATACCTTCCTAGGTCACTAATCCAGCTTTCCTCAGGGAATCTGGGACATGGGTAGCTGCTACTGAGAGTATCAGTTATTCTAATCCATTTTCTTCATACCGTTTAATAAAATCTGGTATCTTCATAATTTAACCAGAAAGGAATCTCCCTCCTCCTCACCAGCTCAGATCAGGAACTGTTACTAGACCTCAAAGGCAGTATATTGTGCCACTAAAAAAAAGAAGCTAGGCAGCCAAGCAGCAAGTCTTTTATTCTCTCATTCCACTGTGTCACGGAACTGAAAACAGTTTGCATCCAAAGTTAGCTGTGGTACTGGGCTTCATGTTAGAAAGGACACAGAATATACTGGGATTTTGCACAGATGATGCCTCACAGACAGGGGTATTATGCATGGAAAAAGTCATGCACGTCATCAAGGTTCTGCTCGGTGGAGTTCATTACCTCATTCCCACCATTGCACTGGCTAAGGCAGGAAGGAGGAGGATGCTCTTTACTCCGCTCCAGTTCTTTGTACACAAAAATGATAAAAACTTCCTGTGGAGCTTAGTATCAGCCTTATCATAGGAGTGCAAGGGTCTGAGAAAAGCAAGTTCAAGAAGAGTTAGTGAATGCACTGTGAAGAGTGCAATGGGAATGAGAATCTGAGGAAGAATGTCCAAGAGAGAATGCCTTCAAATGAAGCAGTGAAGACAGAGAGGGAAGACTCTCACCATAAATCAATCCTGCTTGTCCTTTGGTTCATCTGACTTTAATTTCTGCCCTGAGATCTTCTGCTCTGGGTAATAAGGCCTCCCACCACATCACGGTCTGAACTTCTCAGACTCTCTTGGATTACACAGTGTTTGTCAGTGCTTTACCTGCTTGTTCTCAAAAACTGCTGAAAATTCTGCTGCTTTAGAAAGAGTAACGACGCAGACAGCCACAAACAGAACAAGAGCCTCATGAAAGCAGGAACCAAAACAACAAAGCTTTTTCTGAAACATCATCTGAACAGTCACTTAGCAACAACACTCCAGCAGGCATATGTAAAGCAAAGACTTCCACTGTCCTCTGAAGCATGGACAACATTTCCTCCAGAGACTAACACTAAAAGGAAAAACAAATAGACCTGGATTGCCTTGCAAACCTCCTGGGTGGCCTGCTATCTGATACACAGTTAGCTCCACTACTTGGGGTCAGCAGAGAGAAACAAAACTCCTTTCCCATTCTATCATGGAGGGAATACTTGCCAGTCTTTGTGCCAGGCTAGTACCTACAGAATCAGGACAGGCCTCTGTATTTGCAAAGCCACACAATAATTTCTAAAAGCAATACATTTAGTCCAGCTTGGCTGTAATCAGAGAAAGGAAACTACAGGGTGCCTCTCCAAGAACGCTTCTAACAGTGAACTCTGGTGAGTTAGACTGCTTTAAGAGAAGTGGAGGAAGCTCACCATATGTGCCATTTGAAACCAAAAAGGACAACACTGTCAGGAGAAAGTGTTACTCAAGAGATAGGCTTGCTGGCTTAACAGAAGTTAGACTTGGAAAAGGTGTATTTCATGAATCATTTTCTGAGGACTGGATGGGAATGTTGCCCCACACCTTCAAATCCAAGATCAGGAGAATTTTAGTAGATGAGATATAATTAAGTATAAATCAACACAGCATAGAACACACAACTTCAGGGGACAGCACTGTAGCCTTCGAGGCAGTATCACAGGACTGGAGGCTAAACATTAACCCTGGCTTTATTCTTTCTAAGGTGTGTCTAAAGTCAAGACCTTTCTCTGATACTCATCCTTCTGTGAAATTGGTGCAAGCCAGATGAATATGCCAGTGCTAAGAAATGACTCAAACTTTTATAGAGCAGTTTACTTAAAGAGAAAGCTACTGTCTTTTCTTCCAAACTCCTGCACCCTGCAGCTAATGCTTCATAAAGAGCTGGTTGTGAATAAAAAAAAATATTGTATTATTTACTTTAAAAGATAGACTCTGCTTTTATTAAAGACTTGCTCCAGGGTGCATATCATGTGGTGATAACTGCTTATGTCTTCTGCTCTAAGTAACAAACAATATTATTCTTAAGAAAGAAAAATCTCAACATTATATCAAACCAAGACTACCCTGCACACCCAGCGTATATCACAGGATGAACTGTTGTCTATAATTGCCTTCTACAGCTCAGCTGCAAGCAGAATCAAAGGCCCAACTCAACTGCATACAAACACTAGCCAGAGCTTGATAAGCACAGCAATGGCCATACAAGCACTGGACAAATCATTATGTCTGTTTAATAGTGAAAGTCACACTGCAAAGAAACGAGACATTCTCAAGCAGGCAAAACTTGCTTTGTAAAAACCCATTAAACTGCTGCAGATTAGAAAGAGTAGGGCCTCAAGCTGCAAACTTCATTCGGTGAAAGCCACACAAAGAAATATTTCTTTGGTTTTACAGAAATGACCAATGGAAAAACTCTCACAAAAGCACATCGCCCACAGAAGCCTATAGAAAGAATATGAGAATGTAATTTCAAAAATGACACCAAATTGAAGCTGCTGCACATATGCACTCTGTTTCTCACCATCAGCAACCTTTGATGCAGTAAATATTTTGGGGTTTGTACATGAATTATGACAATGTAATATTGGGGACTGTAGTGCTAAAGAAATCTGAAAGAAGAGGATGGAAACACCCAGTAGAAGTAAACATGCAAAAATCAGTATACTGAAATACACGTATTTCTCTGAAGTGACATTGGTTACTGCACACCTATAGGAAAGTGATGAATTACTCTCCAGGGAAAAGTAAAACTGTACTTATTCCCTTACCTGGTAACCTTCGGTCTTCTTTTGGCACCATTTCAACAGAGCATTCCTCTTCGAACCACCATACTCCCGAGCCAGGGCTGCCAGTGGGTCCTTTCTCTCCACACTAATCCAGGGAAGAATAAGGGAGAAGATAAATATGCTTGAAGTCTCTTATTTTATACTACTGTGTAAATAATACCTGTACAACAAAGCAGTATGGCAGCACAGAACCTAAATGTAAACCAACCTGTAATAGCTTTCACAGCTTGCATTCTATATTTGCTTTTAGATGACAAAATTGCTAACACTGCATACAGAGTGCTGAAGAAACAGCAGCCTATGGATATTTAATGGCATGTGTTAACCCAGCATTTCTGCTGTTATTTTCATCAGCATTACTTATAAAATTTTCAAGTAATCTCTCTGCTTTACATATTGAAAACTAGGATTTAAGGTGCAGAATTGAAATAAACTATCTGAAAAATCTGTAACAGCAAATTCACATCTACTGGAGCTGCTGCAGAACAAGTTCTTGAATCAAATGAAAAATCTGGAAGCTGTATTACAGTCAAGGCCTAGAGGACAGTTAAAGCACAACAATTGAAACACACTGTCTCCACCTTACAGCTTCTACTGTTGGAAATAATGGTGGAGATCACAGGAAAATATATATGTTTTTCTCAAGACGGAAGAAAATTATGTGTCCAGCTTTCCCTTAGACTTCAAAGCTTTTTGTTTTTAACTCACGATAACATGCAAAGCTACATCAAGATAATGAGCATTGACCACTCGTACACATGATGGAATTCTTGTATACAACTTAGCAGCTCCTGAAAGCTTGCTATCCTCATTTAGTCATGATTGCTCATCTTACAGATAGTTGTGGTTGTTATAATCTGCATTTTGATATCTAGATCTAACAGAGCCTGGTAATTCTAAACTGAACAGACTAGCCAGCAGAGTTTCCACTGGAGACAAGGGTCCACCAGATTAAATCATTGACTTGGTGCCAGGTAATGCTGTCAGTCTTTCCAGTGTGCTCTTTTTCCCAGGAAACTGTGTTGGTACCTGAGTTTGCTTTGGGGTTTCAAGTTGCTGGGGGTAGAGGTAAGCATTCTGCTGCTGAAGGCCATAGGGGGTTTGCTCAGGGATTCCAGGGAGGGGCTTTTACGGAGGTAGTGGTCTGGTTTCAGCTCTTCATTTCTCCCCTTCAGAAGGTCTGTGGGAATTAAAAAAAAGCTGTCAGTTTGCAGTGTCAGGAATTTGATTGATCACTGTCCTGCCACCCAGCACACAATATGCAGTCTGTTGTTTTGCTTCTAAACAAATGTACTCATTTGTTCATTAAACACACATGGGGCTAGGAAACCTTGAGCAGATTAGAGGTGATCATAACAAGGAACGGCTTTGATGATTTCAACAGTACAGACTGCCTAGTTTCCTGTGATTGATACTCCTGCTAGGGGGTAGGGGCCTCAGGTGAATGAGGGGAAATACCAAAATCTACAGTCTTAAAGGTTCAAAAGCTGATTGCCAGATATCTTCACCAGATGACTGACCAGCCCTAGTACAATAATTTCTTTTCTGCCATTAGCAGACTTGTAACAAGAAAGCCTCTTGTCTCCTGAATATGACCTAGCTCAAGGCAGCAGTAAAAGGCACTTATCACATGATGCTTGGCATCCTATCTGACAGAGCTTCGGGAAGTCTCAATATATTCATAGCAGATGCATCTGTATTTTATTACACATATTGCATATTTTTATATATTTTATGATATAATACATATATCAATAAACTAGCAGCCATAGAATCCAATGTTGATAGGTTTTTGAAGAGAAGCCAAAGAGATTATAGAAATCAAAGAATCATGAGGTAGAGTGATGTATAACACAGGGAAAGTTGGCTGCTTCATTTCTGTAGTCAAACTGTCAACAAGCCAGGATCTATGGTCAGCACATAACGAGCTATTATCAGAAATTAATTGAATGTGGAACACAACTTTTTCTCCTCCTTTTCTGTTACCTCCCTATGTTAATTATCAATTAATGCCATATCACCTAGAGGTGTGAATTCCTTCTTAGCTTCAGCAAAGGCTGGTATCACTGGATCAGTCTGAAATTTCTTTTCAGCAGTAACTGGGGTGTGTGTATCAGCAGTTGCCAGATAAACACATCCTTTCAACAGCCGTGCAGCTACCCTTGCTTGGGTCCTGAATTTCGTAAGACTAAACCAGCATTTGTAGCTGACAAGAGTTATAGGCATTTCTGCACCTTCTTTCCACAGGCATAAAGGGATGGTAAGTTCCTATCTATTAAGAATTGCAGATGGAAAAGGACAGAATCCAGTCCCATGACACTGTCTCCTTTCCAGCAACTTGGCTGTTGGCAGAGCCCTGTTGCATTGGATTGCACATACCTTGCTCAGTCAGGGTCATCCTTCCTTCCACTCACCTGTCCCTTCTTTGTGTGCACCATGAATTCATAACAAACAAGAAATTGCACACAGCATATTTTCTAAAAGTCTTTTTCTTTGTTTTCCACTATATATTCCAAATGTGTATAACTCTTCCACCTCCTCATTATGTTGGATTTATGGGGAATTGCCTCAAATTTAAATAGCCACACCAATCAGGCAACTAATGAATGATTCTTGGGACCGTTTTAAACTTAAGAATATTCTTAGAGAAACAGATCTACTGCAAAAGGCATATCAGTAAACAAAATCTGAGCATTATGAAGAGGAATGTAGGTTTCTCACTAATTTATAAGGATAGTAAAAAAAAAAGCACTGTTAAATTGTCACTAACATCATTGGACTGGCTAATGGCATGGTCTAATTAGGAAGTGCTGTGCCAATCATTCAGGATGCAAGGTACAGAAAAAGGAAGAAGGAAGGATCACAGTTAGGTATAAAGGCAGTTGGAAGCATCTAGCTGGAAAGTAAAGAGGGAGAAGACGAGGGCATACTAGGAGTCATTTGGAAAAAGAAACAGGATAATAATCATATGAAAAATATGCAGCATGATTAAGGAAAATCACATTCTGTTAGCACTATCTATTTGCACTATTTAAAGAAACTTTGTGGTTACTGGCTTGAATTACACAGTAGTGCCTGAAGTGGTACAAGTTAACAGCACCTAGTTCTGTACTTTGAGTCCCACTTGCCTGAGTAATATACTACCTTTGACTTAGTTCTGGCTGCTAGAAACTCCAGGACAGAACCAGTAAACCTCTGATTCTAAATGAAAGGATCATAGCCAAAGATCAGCTCTCCCTGCGAAGTAATCCATCCTCCTCTCCAACGATGTAACATTTGGGTCATATTAAGGACATCACAGAACCCTGCTGTGATACTGGTCAGATAGAATCAGCCAGAAGATTATTATTATGGAGACTACTTCACTCTGAATTTCCTTGGGGATATTTTTTAATACAGTGTTGTTTGCATAGGGCTTGGATCAACTGCCTTCCAGGATTATTTAGATTGGAACCAGAGCTATTACAACTTTATAGTTAGTAAGCCTTTGCTATGGATTATTGCAACTAAATTAAACCCAGGGACAAAGAGAAGCTGTAAATACAGGAACTTGTCAGATAAGCAACCATAAATTTTTACCATACAATGGCTAATAAAATATCTCTTGATTTCAACAGATTTTCACAAACAATTGTCTATGGGTAATAACAGCAATTATCCATGGCCCAAAGTGGGATATTTATTATTAAGGACTGGCATTATATTACACAGTTGACAGATTACTTCACTCTACAGTAAACTGGTAGAGATTAAAAAGGTTTTATGTTCTGTTTAGGATCATTATATACTCTCATGCAAGACATTTTCTGGAAACCAACTGATACCAGTAAGTAAACTCTGTCTGTTCCACTGATAACTTCTGCTTGCTTAGCCTTTACTACTGCAGGAGAAGCCAGTAGCACAGACAAGACGTTATCTGTTTATGCTATCTACCCTATAATCTGTTTTGCTGTTCAGATCCAGTATCTCTTCATCTTTGAATGATGGAAGGGGAAGTTTAGCACATTATCTGAAAAGTCTAAAAATGAAGACAGGTTCTAATTTCTCTCCTGTACTAGCAAACTATTGCAGAAAATCCAGTCTACCAATGAAGCTGTGACTGAATTTTTTTGCCCCTCCCTGCAGTTTCACTGAGGTTTCACTACAGGAATATAATATTTCGTCTCTCCTTAAAAATTCAATACTCCGTAGTTACTAGCTTTGATTCCAAGGCAACAACTACATTCAGGACTAGATAGTCAAAACAAAGGGCCCTAAAGAAAATGGGAAACAAACACTGGTAGAAAAGAATATTAAATGACAAGAGAACAAAAGGAAAGTGTGAAATAAAACCAAACGCATCTCTTGAGAACTCTCAAAACAAACTATTTCGAGCCCAGATATGACTGCTCCTACAACAGTCACATCGGTATCCGAAATGTTTGATGTATTTCAAATGAAGCTCAACTCAAAACCAAATAAACTCTCAAAAAACAGTGCTTTGGACTTGTTCCAGATACATACATGTTAAGCAAAATTCAATCCTCTCCAGTTCCACAGCACGGATTAGAGAGGTGCCATGGATACTTTGGAATAAAGGCGGCAAGTTTGTGTTGGCAAACCATAATAAATCAGCTATTTTTTAGTTTTCTAAGGCTACAATCAAGATAGGAATGGAGACATGAGAAAATTAATAAGCTCTCTAAAACAAAGACTCTGAAGACCATACAAGAAGAGGAAAAAAGGCCCAGGCAGAGGCCAACAGTTAATGACAAGCTGTTGCTAGTAAAAAGAGGCAACATTTGTACATTTACTGCAATTTACCTGCAAGAGGAAGGTCTGAAAGATCTGTGTGTCTGGCAACGCCCTTGCTGGCTGGCTTGGCATTATTATAAACAGAATGTCTCTGTGAAATAAACATACAGAAGATAATTAAAAAAATACTATCCATCCTGCTTAAATAGGCAAGCAGAAAGAAAAGATGTTTCTGCTATTGCAAGATAGCAAAGCAAGTGAAAGTATACAGAAACCTTTTGACGAGGTATTAGCTGTACCTAGAGCTGGATTAATAGTTGTGAAAAATAAAAGAACAAAGGGACAATATTTTTAATTGGTAATATACTGGTTCCTGAACTATTTCAAATTTCTTCTCTTGCCAAGCATAATCTAGTGTCACAAACCCAAAGTAAGAATGCCTGTTCCTAATACTGCCTCTCTCCCCAGCACCCCAAATCATGTCAGAAGGATTCTTGTCTCTGCAGCCCCAGCTTTCAGCATTAATACCCCCTCAGCAAGGCATTAATAGAAGGTTCCCAGACTCCTGTTTAATCCCATTCTTTAAACTTCCATTGTTGATTCTTTGAAGGAAATGTGCTCACACATTTGTTAAGTAGTCTCTCAAAGTCATCTCATTCCTCAGAAGACTCACCTAAACCCCCTAGACTTGCAACTGTTTTTTACTCAGATTCAGAGGTGAATATCCTCTGTCCAGTCCAGTAATCACCCAGTCAGAAAACATATAATGGCTTCTCCAGCCTTGAAAGGTTAGCAGTCTGATGGTATGCCACCTTCACGCGTGGAAATCAGGAAGTACTGTGCATTTGCTTCTCTGTCATTCACAAAAGCAGTATTTCCAGTAACATTGCACCTCAGATTTCAAAATTGCTAACACAAAGTTAACTAACTGGTGCAGTGACATAAGTAGTAATACACTCCAGAGCAGTTATGTTTCAGTAGGAAAAAAACCAAAACCAAACTGTAAAGGCTCTTCATTCAGCACTGTATGAACTTACTAGATAACTAGGACTATACATCTTAGAAACTTATTATCCCATCTCTCTCAGCTCACATGCCAGCTACATAGTTTAGTTCAATGTTTCTTGTAACTCACTCCCAATAGTCAAAACCTGTCTTCTAGTCAACAGTGATTACAGTTCAAAATTGTATTCCAAGAGTTCACATCCGTCCACCGAGACCTCGAAGCTGAAGTCAAAGACAAACTCACTTTGATCCTTTTTTGTTAGTACTACAGCATTTGATGTTTCACAGCAAATAAACAGATGAGTTTCCCCTTCCCCTTGTCAACATACGCATGTTGGTATGCTGAAGCTATGTCATGCTGTAGCAAACACTGCATCTACCCATTTTAAAACTGCAAGAATGCAAATAGCTCCTTGTACCTGCATGGGGGAAACAGCAGCTGCTGGGGCTGTCCTCACTGGAATTCCACTTAGAGGGCTCCTGGGGACCTTGTGAACTGCGATATTTTGTCCAGTGCTACCTGCAAGGAAAAAAAAAAAAAAAGGAAATATTTGTATTTCAAACCTGGCTATCTCCCTCTTGTCAGAACAGGGAACCACTGGTGCAGTGACATTCCAGACATAGTATTTATGTACCAAGCAGTGACAGAAAATATCTGTTAAGAAGCATGAAGCAGCACAAAACAGCAAAAATTATCTGCTCGCTGCTAGAAAATTTTTTTACTACAAAATACAGTGTTCAAATACCTGAGCATCCTAAATCAAATGATTTTATCAGTGACTTCACAGTGGCTGCAGACTCTGACGGTGTGGGAGATGCTCTGCTAATGCAGACTCCTTGCCAGCGGTTGGTCGTATCTGCCTCTAGAGATTCTACCTCTTCAGCTGTCAGCCTGCAGAGCAGAAACCAGATCAAAGTCAGGGGCAACAGGAAGCGCAAGCAGAGATTAAAGGTCTTTATATGTAGTAAGGCAAATCCAACGACGCACCTCTCTCATTGTAATGCCCAGAACATGGACCACTCATTAGAAAGTTCATGTTCTTTTCTTGGAGTGCCTGGCAAACATTAAATCATTGAGTCTAATAAACTTTTCTGCATTGTTAACCGTATCGTTCCCATTGCCCATCCTCACACAGGATGAAGGATTATCATAGAAAAAGCAGTTTGATGAGACTTATGTGTAATCATCGATAATTACTTGAAGACGGGCTTTCAATGCAGCCCAGGGATCAAGGGGCTACTGTGGTCCTCAGTGTGTAATGAGGAAAGGAACCAAAGAGAAAGACGTTATTTTACTCTCTATGTTTTCAGTTGGCGTGACCACCGCTGGAGTAATTGTTACCGGTTAAAATACTATAATTGAAAATAAGTAATTGGACAGGGTTCAGGTGAGAGCCATAAAAATTAAATCAGAACATATACTTCATAATGAAAAACTTCAGAAACTCAACTCTTACAACTTATCAACAAGGACATGTGCTGAACAAGTAAAACCTCAGTGAGAATCCATAAGCAGTTATATGGGGAATAAAACTGTGAAGTGCTTCATCCTAGCAGACACAAGAATACCAAAATTCAATGGCTGGAATGAAGATAGACAAACTCAAAATAGAAATAAAGGATCATTAAGTTACTCCATTGAAAAGAAATTCTGAAGTCAAGATTAGGTGCTGGACTTAGAGGAATTAGTATCGGAAAGTCCACAGCTACATTAAACAGCAAATGTAAACATACAGTTTAACCGTCGCTTCTAGTCATGCATTTTACAGATCTGGCTGCCATTGCTTAGCACTGACACCGTACTCACCCAATACCTCTCAGGTAGACTTCGAGCGTCATTACCTAGCTTTAGTTTAGGAAAGCTGCAATTAGATAACAAAGCCTAGTCACATAAAAAGAGAGTATTTGTACATTACTTTCCTGATCTCCCAGCTGCTCACGAAATGCATGCTGATCTACAGGTTCTGAGGTATCACCAGTTTCCCCTACTTTTAAGTACAATAGGCACCAAGAGCTACATGAACACAAAATCAGAAATTGTTTCATAAGAAGGCTAGAGGAGTCCATCCAGAAAGTCCCTATGGGGTCAAACTACTTCTGTTGAGCTAAAAATAGAAGTCAGTGTCTTTTTCTTTCCCTTTTGGCATCAAAGTCTACAAAATGCAAAGGGCTAAAGGGTATCAATGAATAAAAGAATAAGAGTGACTCATATTTCTATTTTTGGCAGAGCTTAAGGAAGTGCTGTCTTTAAACAGACATTGGCTATTTCTTTGGTAATTCATTCAAGCTCCTTGTGTGCCAGGGGAGCCTGCAGAGGCAGATGGCTAGAGAAAAAGCCATTTCAGTTCCATTCTCCATTTAATCCCATAAGGAGAAAAGGCAGATTAGGTAAGATTCACTGAGGTCTAAGGGAGCCAGTGTCTTGCTGACTAAGTTCTACCCTTCACTTTTTCTTCTGTGGCTTCATAAAGCATAAGCAAATCAACAGGTGATTGCATCTACACTTTAGTTATACAAAAAGACAAAACCTAAAGGAGTTCTGGTTCTAGTAAAGTATGGAGGAAGGCTAGATTTCTGCCTCAAGATACAAAGCCACCCAATGCAATCCATTATACTTACAATTAAATAGGTCACTATGCAAGAGTTCTGTCTAGTTATCCAGGCAACAAGGGTATGCACAAGGTTTGCTGAGTATTATCAGAGTAAGAAAGGAATAGTAAATGTCTGTAGGCCAACTGGCAAATCTTGAGAATAAAGCAACCCAGAGATATGGTCTAGGCAGGCATCACTTCAGTGGTTAGGATTTAAGTCTGAGAACAGCTCAAACCTCACACAGACCAGTGTCCTCAGTCTAGCCTGTGATTGCAAGAGAATGCAAACATATTAAATAAAGTTAGAGTAACTAGACCAGCCCCTGTGCCGTGCCACAAAAAAGTCCACTGGGAAATCACGTTACTATTCTGTCATTGTACAGACAATTATGAAAACTCAAGTGCTGGAGCTACTACCGGTTCCAATTTTGTTAAGATGCTTCCTGTAATCTTAAGTCTGTATATTTGTAATAGGCTTCTAATGCACCCTGAAACAACCTCCTAGATTAAACACAATCACATCAGAAAGCCAAGGCCTCTCATGCTCCAAACCATGGCATGAAAGGCAAGAAGAATAGTGCTGAGACCTATTTGCTTCAACTAAACTCACACATACCAGCCAACAAGCAATGGAGAAACTTAGTGAGTACCTTCCATTTTTAAAGAGAAAAAAAAAATCCGTATAAGGGGATGCATATATGTGTACATATATGGGTTTCTTAATAGAGAAGCAAAAGAGTAAGATCTTAACTTGCAGTAGCAAGCTAATTCAGGAGGACAGTATAGGAAAACATGACTTAGAAAAATTAATGACAAGCCATACCTTTAAACCATAAATCACTCCTTGTGCACAGAATTTATTTAGCTTAGTATAGCTTAGGCCATCCCAGAAGACTAGGCAAGCTCTGCTACAAAATGGATGGTTTTGAACAAAATGTCATCTACTGCTGTATGCTTTCCTTGAAACAAGAATGAATGGTTTACATAGATAAATGCTGCAAGTGCAGCTGGCTTAAGTGGAGCAGCTCCAGGAGGAAGCAGAGCACTTTAGCCACAAAGGAATTAGTGTGTGGTCCTTTTCACAAAAACACTGCCTGGTTTCATTCATTCATTCATTCACTGGTGAGAGAAGTAGATGCAGAGAGCTCTTCTCTAATGGCAAGAGTTAAGTCTCCTTGTTTTCTACATTTGTAATATGTGGACAACAGACCGCCAACAAGGTGCAAGTCTTTCTGTGCTTAATGTATAGATTTTGCAACAGCAGCCTTCACGTGTTTGTGAAATTTCTAAACTGCTCTGATGACCTCTTTGCTACAGGTGGCCTAGGACCACAGAACCATATTTTCAGAAATAATTACTCTGCAAATCTAGTCTTTGACACAGTTCTTGTCATTGCTGTGAATCTGCCTGAACTCCAAGGGACACAAAGAGACACACAGCTACTGATGCACAGAACAGAAGAGAGGCCAAAGGCAGGCAGCAGACAATTCCAGACACTTAAACATTTATTTGGCACTTCAATATATATTTCTTAAACATAAAAACCAACATTCAACAGCTGCCAGCACAAAAAAAGAAGGGCAATACAAGTGTGCATATATGCACAGACTCCAGTAGCATGGCACAAAGGCGAAGGCCATGCCAAAGCCAGGACAATCCCACAGAATTCTCTACTAGCTCAGCCTGCTCTGAGACCAGGCCCTTGCTAGGTCTTCACATCCAGGAGGAAAGGATGGGAATCCCACAGCCAAAACATGAAATTCCAGTCCTGGAATAAATCCTGATGATCTCCTGGTAGAGATGGTGACTTCTGAGTGTCTCCTTAGCATCCAAGTAAAGCTCTCTCCAGGTGTCTCCAGTTGCAAAGCTGAACTTCAGCAAGTTCTCCCTGATCATCATATACTTCACCTGAGTTAAGGGCATGAGAAAGACTCCTTTCTGAGAAGATATTTACTAGAGGCTTGATATTTTAATTTCTTTTCCTTCTGATCTCTCCATCTGCAATTCTCAGCCAGGACAAACCTTATGTGGGGCATTCTCTGTGAAAGTCATAGCAGGACATGCTCCTTGTGCACCGCCCTGCTTCCTAACACAGAGTCAGACATGCCACCCAGTGGCGAGTGACTTGTCAATACATTATTAGAAGTCTGAAACCATCAAAGCAGCTGATACTGAATAAATAACTTCATGTTTCTATTCAGTTTTCCTGCTGGATTTCAGTAACCTACTGCTTGAGTTTGTGTGTGTATGTATACATACTGATCTGTATGCATACAGGTATTTAGACAAACACAGAGAGATCTATGAATATAATACTATATGGAGAACTCTAATGTGTATGCGCATTACATTTGACAGATTAGACATACACACAGTTTTATTTTTTTTGCTTAAGCTTAAAATGGCACATTTGAATTTCTGTTTCAGGGCAAATACTCCCATCCTTCCAAAAAAGCCCTCAGTTATTTCAGTTCCCCAGATCTGTGATTACTTCTTACAGCCTAGTTGGCTTTAGACTAATTCAGAACTTTTTCTGCCTCATGGAGTCTTCTGAAGAAAGAAGCCTCTGAAACAAAGAAATAGGCTCTTGCCCATATGGAGGAGGCGGACCTGTGTAGCATTCACACTTTGCGATACACTTGACTTTTGCAGGGCAATAAAAAAAAAACTGGAGGTGCTTTCTTGAATTGAAACTTCCCTTTTTCAGCTGCAAGTTGAAGGTATGTCCTGAAGTGTCTCACATGCATGGCTATGCATCCATTCAGGGCTGTGTTAGCTGGTAGATATCAGGCACCTATGGAGATACAGACAACAATCGGGGAAGTTATAAGCAGCAATACAATGCCCATCCTGAGGTACAGCACTATTTTACAGTTAAATCACCCCATCATCACTGAAGTGGAGAGGTGAAAATGCTGACGGTGTTGCTAGGACAGAGTCCCTTAACACTCTACTAACTCACCTTTGGGGTGTGATGAGCAAACAATACAAAAAAAAAATCTATGTTGCTCAGATAGGAAGAAATGAAGTATTTAAAGCCAGGGAACCAATTTCAAAGGACAGGGATGGTAGTGTTCCTGGCTTTCCTCTCTTCTAATCATTTAGGACTACTCATTCAAAATGGGTACACGAACCCATCCAGGCAACTAGAGTTGCTCTACCCCAGTCAGAGTTTCTGTTTCAAGGTCCTTACACCAAAGAGGATGGAATAATCTCCATCCAGTGTAAAAAAAACAAACCCCAAACCCCAACAACTCTGAGGAGTCATTAACTCGAGCAAACAAACAATACTTCAAGGACCCTGCTCTGACATTCTAGTTTGCTTACTTTCAGTGAGAGCAGAATGAACTATCAAACCTCTGTAAGACAGAACAGCTGCAAAACACAGGCACAAATGAGCAGCACATCAGCACATACAGACTGACAGCAGGGTTTAATACACATAGAGTACAAGCTTATTTCCAGGAGAAAAAGCATGTAACACTGCCATGCTGTGGCATTTGAGACTTTAGGAGGAAGAACAGAAGGAAATTAGTGGGATACATCACAATCTTCACTTTAGGCTTCCATTTGAAGATCTGGTTAATTTTTTTTTTAATTATTCTGAGAAGTCGCACATTTAATTACAGATATAATTTCTCTGTTTTTTGAGTACTACTCCCAGCCCAACTGTCTTCCCTCCATGTTCTTGGTTCAAAGCACATAATGTTATAGTGCCAAAATCATTTCGAGAACTTGAAGGGAAACAGTCAAAGCAAGACCTTGAAACTTTCACTGCTGCTAAACCGTGTATTGCCAGAAAGGCTTGGAAATGGGTGCGTAATGAAGCCAAAAGAGCCGTCCATAATTTGGGTCCTTTCAACAATAACTTTCTTCCTTTGTGTTACAAACCCAATATAGCATTTTTTTTTCATCACTTAAATATTTGATCCTAAAACAGGTACAAAAATGAATTTATTTTCAAGGTGACTTGCTACAGGATCATAGGATAATTCAAGTCTGAAGGGATCTCAGGAAGTCATCTAGTCTAACTTCCTTCTCACAGCAGGGTCAGCTATGAGGTCAGACCAGGTTACTCAGAGTCTTATCCTGTCTGGTCTTGAAAATCTCCAAGGATGGAGACTATACAGTTTCATTTTCCACCACCTGTGAGGACACAGTTACACAACAGTGGATTGTAAGCTTTTGCATTTTACTGCAGGGAAATAACATTAGTTAGGATGTAAAATATCACAAAAGACTGTCTGAAACATGGGTTAATTTGTAGGTTTCAGTCATTACTAACTTGGGACAACCTAACTCCTCTCTTCCTTATTCCTTTTGATTGATGCTGGTCCAACCTCCCCCCAACATTCTTAGTCATAGAATTAGACATTTAATCTGTGTTAAAGATGCCTTTGGGAGGCTCTTACCTTCATTCAGATGAACTCTGATGACCTCATCAGGATTTTTTCTGCAAGTTCTTTGGCTGTTCCTGAACCAAAAATGACTTTTTGCCTGATTAGAAGAATGTAACGGTGAAATCAAACTTGGAGGCAGGAACTCAGGCAGCCACAGGCAAACATTAAAATGGCAGGATGTCGTAGGAGATAAATTGGCTTCAAGATCAATTTATGAGGTGGAATCTAATGACCCGCAAGAGATGGTTGAGATTTTGCCAAAAACCTTTGAGTAGCAAGCTATTTGGAAGGTACATTTTCCAATTGGAGCTTAAAAATCAGACAGGAAACTTTCACTAGGGACTGTCGGATATTCAGCTGAGCGCACAGCTGCTCAGCATTAGCAAATATGAGGAATACTTTTACAGGCTGTGTTAACATATGCTACAAACTGTTTCCACCAGCGCTGAGCATGCATTAAAAGTCATCGCAGGTACCAGAATCTACTGCTGATTCTAAGCAGTAGCATTTGTGAAAGCTGACTAAAAGCACCGATGAGAATATCCCCAGAAATTTCTGGGTGAAAGAAGCTGAGGTGCTAGGGAAGATAGTGACCTCAGGAATGCAAAAATAACTGTGTGTGTAGAACTGGCTCTCAGCAGGAGCTTTGGCGACTTCAAGAATGTTTTATAGATCAGTACAGTCTTAAAATTTCAGTGCTTAGCTGTTGATCATTGGTTTGTTTAGATAATGACTTACATAGGCTTCATTACCTTCTCCATACCACTCAGTACAGAAATTTTGCACTCTCTGCATGGACACTGTGAGTTAGATTAGTTATACTTAAATTGGCAGATGCACAATTTGGTCTCAACACCTGTCTTTGAAAAATAAATATTGCCCACTGCAGACAGTATATCTGGCTCCACGATCAAAGTAATACTCAAAGCAAGCTATATGGATAGTCAACAGGATGCAAAGACAGACATACAGATATATGTATGTGAAAAAGAGAGGGAGAGACAAATGCCAAAACTGACTTAATAAAATACGTGCCTGAATACCTCCTTCTGGAACTATGTATGTATGAGGATTCTGGAGATCTAATTTCAAAAGCAGTATTTCCAGCTCAGGCTTCTTATGCCAAAGAGCTGACAATGCAGCCACGTTCCTTATACGTGGAAAATAAATATCCCAGTTTGCAAATTAGCAGGTCATCTTCTATTCAAGTTAAGTATTATCAAACATCTTCAGATTAAGAAACAAAAAAGAGAGGAAACTACAAGTACATGATCCTGCCCTTATATACGGACCCTGCTCTAAACAAGAGAAATTTCATTAAGAACAAATTAGGGCTGGAAACAGAGCCCAGAACTTAAGGACTGTCTGGTAATCATTTTGTCTGAATACATAGTCTGTAATAGCTTTTCTCTGCATCCACTGGGGACTCTGATAATGAAACTGGAGCTTAAACACATTCCCTTATTTTTCTGAAAGAAGTATTTCTGTTCCTTCAATCCAGGACTTCTGATCCATACACCTCCGCACTAAAGCCCTCCCATCTTTTTACTCCCATCTACTGTACAGCTGCTGTGGAAACTCCTGAATGAAAAACAGTGAGCAAGTACGTGTAACAAAGTTGGACTGTTACTCCACCTGAAAGAAGTGACAGGATTCACTGTGTTCCTGTGGCTATTCTACTAGTGGCCATATATTTACTAGGAGAGAGATTAAATGGAAAATTCTAGAACAGCAAAATTAATTTGGCACATGTTTTTAATAAACGGTACCATTGTTTGTGTTATTTTGTCTTTCTTTGTTCCCCCTGTACAAATTTTCATCACTGCAGCTCAGCTGGCTCTGCTTGCATCAATGCAAAAAGAGAGGAAAGCACTGTCACCTTTAGAAATTTTGGTTCTTCCTTCCAATACATCTTTTGTTTTCCATCTCTTCTTATTTAGTACTTCAATTGTAGTATGATTTTCGGAATGATAGCTGGTACATAAAAGGTCATGCACTGCACAAAAGCCACATTGTAAGGCATCTCTCTGTACTGGTTCCAGATTAAATTGTAAGAGTCACTTTTGTTCTTACCATGCTCCCACAGAGGGAAGCCCCACATATTCAGCTTACCATGCTGAGGTATATCTCTGAATGGTTCACAGTTACTGTTCCCTCTTCAACCACTGAGACTACAGCAATTGTTTTACAGGTGGGTCCGCTGCATGACAAAGTCACTTCTGGGCTAATTGCTAACCCAGGCCACAGTCCGGACCATTTAACACTGCTAATCACATAACAGGTTTCAAATTAAGGATGGGAGATACAAGATGAGGAATCCTAGTATTTGCATTGATCACTCAGTTAACATGTATCAGACTTGCAAAACAAAGAAATCCAGCTAGTTCTCGTTTTAATTTGAACATATACAGTCCTTGACTCCTCTCAGGTTAAGTAGTTCTCTTCTGGATGTCCCATTGAATATATGTAGCCAACAAATGTTTTCACAGATGGTTAAATACAGCTGCACAGAGTTATGAAGGCAATAAACCACAGCGGAATACTGTATTGAGAACAAAACTATAACAGGATATTGGCAATCGTTATTACTTAATATTTGCTGATTAAAACCTTCACAGCCTAGTTGACAGAACTAGATTGCTAAAAAGAACAGAAACATCTTAGAGTAAGAGACAACAAAATCTGTCAGAAGAGTTAAAAACAGACAACATGCACATCCAAGCCAATGAATAGTTATTGACAAAGCACTGTTTGCATGCATGTTAGCAGTCACAGAGATCAAATCTTGACCTTTGTAAGTAACCAACCTGCTGCTGCCCTTCACTTCATCCAGCTCCTTCTGCAGTCTGGCACTCTTTTCCTCTTCCTCCTGAAGCTTCCTCTTTACCACACGCAGCTCCTGCTGGGCTTCACACTTAATATCATTGGCTACAACCACTGCAGTCTGCAGATCAGCTTGAAAACGCCTCCATTCTTCTGTATCTTCCTAGAAAGAGCAATTAGAACCCCAAACTGTTTGCTGTAATAATGCACCTACTTGAGCTGAGCACTTAGTTATTGATCTCGCTTTCAGTGATCACAAGCAACCAGGATTTCACTACAATTTCAAGATGATGCCAAGGTCAAACTAAATACTTGCCTCTTTACACAGTACCGACAAGATTGCCAAAGCAGAAACTGATGCTAAGCTCGCCACTCCAATACAAAAAGTACAGTGAGAGTTCTTCCACAGCTATTCATCATTCAGACTTGTGATACTACTACAAGCACTGCTGCTGAAAAGAGCTCATTGCTACTGATGATTCATGAAGCAGGAAT